CACTCTTGTTCATGTGACTTGTTGGTCATTCATTTAAACCTGTAAATTCATAAGCATTATTCAAAATATGGTGAAGCATGAAGAAAATTATGTGGGTTATATTTTGCGAGCTCAAAAGGTTAAAGGTTAAAGACAAATTCCAGAACAGTTTACTGAAGGAAGTTGGTCATATATCTTGTGACATTATTCACTGGTTTATTATGTACAACCACGGTTACTACTTTAGTAACCGTGGTACAAGCATGGAGTCAATCTGTCACAACCCCAAAAACATTTAAGTTAAAAATTGATTAAAAATAAAAAAACTCCACTTTGGTGAAATCTCTTCAGTTCATTCTGGTCAGTATTTCACAATTCATTTATTTTTCCTGGTTTTCTTGCAGTATTTCTAAATATTTGTTTGTTTTTGCTCGCAGACTTCAATTCTTGCCCTCTGCAGAGCTGGCACTAGCTGGACGTGGTGGAGATGCTGAGGTGAATTCAAATCCTAATTTTGTAGCAATCATGATAGCTTGTGTGGCAGCCTTGAGAAAAAAAAAAAAAAAAAAAAAAAATAATATTATAGGATGAACAAATGATGAAAATGTACAGAAAATTGAATTCCAGAGGTGAAAATTCCAGCTAAAATGAAAAGTTCACATTTGCTACATTGAGTAACCATAGTAACTTTTTTTGTTATGCTGCTAAATTAAAAAACAGCAACACTTGAAGTTTTTGACCAAGATTTGTCTCACTGCAGACATTTTCTTCCATTTCCTAATACTCAAGATTTATGAATGTCTAAAAGTTAATATATTTGTTTCTTACTACCTGGTAATGCATGAATCACATTTTTCAGCTACTGTCATCGTCATTTTGTTTTGGACATCAAAACAGCAACATTACTAGATGGTTGCTAAAATATGCACATCTTGATATTTTCTTTACTGGTGCATCATTCAGATAAATGTGCGCAGTACTACACAAACTCTATTCACTAGTGTTCAGCTAAATACTAGATTGTGCACTAGTCATGTGAGACAACGTCAATACATATAGCTTATTTTTTTGGGATAATTTTTTGTAATTATCATTTGGCAATCTTCTATTAATATTCAACATGTCTTAATTGTTTTCAATACTAGTATTAATTTCACGTGTCTTGTTGATTTGACCCAATTTGTTCTAAACGATCTGGAGATGGTGTCAAACCAGTCAGGAACCTAGCTGTTGCAGTTTGCAGTGTCCTAACCTTTTCAGCACCAGTTCTCTCTTTTCATCAAAAATTCACAAACTAATCCACTTAATAGTCTGCACTTTCCTTCAGAAGATTGGGACAAAAAAAGCCAAATTTGTGAGTAAAAACTGAAAATTTATTCAAATTTTGTCTGTTTGCTTCAAAATTAGGGTTCATTTCCAGAAAAAGTGCAGGAAAAGTTTGGCGAGAAAATTCTTGTGTTGAAAATGTTAAATGTAAGTGTAACTCCTTATGAGAAGCTACTTTGTATATCAGAATGTGTCTTATATATTACCTTTAGTTTTCTCTTTGCATTAAACTCTTTGAGATTTTCTTGTGTGTTTTCCATATGGCTGAACTTGGCGGCATTTCCTAGCACCCAGGGATGCCGTAATGCCTCTTTAGCTGTCAGTCGCTTCTTTGGGTCAAGTACTAACAACTTCATGATTAGATCCTGGAGAGAAAAAGTAAGATTTTAGATGAAATTTCCAATGAGATAATTTTTATACCAATTTTGGCCTTGAAACCTATTGTTTTGGTAGTATGTTTATTTCTGTAAATCTACGAATGTCTCTATCTTTGTTGTATTCATAGGCAGAGTGTCATCACTACAGTTAACTATGAATAACTTGTAAACAGGAATAGGTGATTTTCCTTTCAACTGCGAAATCTCGCGAGATGCATGAAAGACGCGCGTTGAACGTCTGCCGCAAAAAACGAACGATTTGATTTTGAACTTGAATTTCTTTATTACGTAGCTCACATCGACCGGCCGATTTTCAACAGAGAAATATTGATTTCAAATACTCTGACTTAATCGAAATTGCCTATCATCAAATGTGTACAGCACATTATTAAGCATAGAAAT